CTGCCGAAGCTTGACATTCTCCTAATCTACGATGCGTTCAACTCGATGTCCCAAAGAGCGTTTGGTCTGTGTACTGAGTTAGGGCACCGTGTTCAAGCCATGGTGTATTCGGAAGAGAAAACGCTCGAGATTCTCAACAGTTCGCAAGCGGTGGATGTGATTGTGTGTCCGTTCCTCACCAAGATTCTACCGAAAACGATTTATGCTCATCCACTCGTTCCTTGCTTGATCATCCATCCCGGAATCGCTGGTGATCGAGGCGTGTCTTCTCTCGACTGGGCGTTGTTTCAACAGAAAGAAACCTGGGGTGTCACCATTTTGCAAGCCGATGCCGACGTTGATGTAGGGCCCATCTACGCTACACAAAACTTTAGTCTTCGTCGTCAGCTGGGCGATTCTCTGACCAAATCCAGTGTATATCGCAAGGAATGTATTCCAGCGGCTATGGCGTGTCTAGAGGAGGCCCTGCTCAGGGTGCAGCGTGGTCAAAAGGGCACTCCACTCGACTACTCGCATCCAGCAATTCAAGGCACGTTTAATCCTCGCATGAAACAAGTGCGTCGAAAGATTGATTGGAGTTTACCTGCACATCAACTCGTCAAGCTGTGCAACGCTTCGGATTCTCAACCAGGAGTTCGTGAAGAGTTTGATGGTACGTGTGTCGTGTGTGTTGTTGAAGTGTCGCGTCATCATCTTTTTTGCCGGTTAGGCCAAGCTTTTCTATTATATGGCTTTATCGAAAAACGACTGTTCTGCAATGAACAAACGGCCGCTCCTTGTAAAACACTGCTGGGACATCGTCACGAGGCCGTTCTCGTGCAATGTGGAGATGGATCTTGCATGTAGATCACACGCATGAAGCGCGTGAACACGAAACAACAGCAGTACTCCAAGTTACCGGCCATGCGTGCGCTACCAGAGGCTCTGGTAGCTAACGTCGATGAACTTCCGCTACATTCCACAACGACGATGAAATTACCGCTACGTTCGCTACCTGAGACATTCCAAGAAATCTTCTTTTGGGAAAGCTCCCACGCCTGCTACCTTTTTTCCGACTTCTACAATGGCGCCATGAACACTGATCAATGTCATCGTTTGGCCAAGGCCCTCGATCACGTCAAAGAACACAGCCATAAGAAAGTACTCGTGTTAATAGGAGGTCTAAACTTCTTCTCCAATGGAATCCATCTCAACACCATCGAAGCAGCCTCTAATCCTGCGCACGAATCCATGCGAAACATCACCGCCATTGATGATGTGGTCCAGAAAATTCTCTTGATGGACGACCGACTCACAGTTTCGGCGCTGGTGGGCAATGCTGGCGCCGGAGGAGCCATGATGGCGCTGGCTGCCGATTTCGTCTGGATTCATCCGCGCGTTGCGATGAATCCTAGCTACAAAGCAATGCACTTGTACGGTTCCGAGTATTGGACCTATTCGCTGCCTCGTCGCGTTGGTGCCGATGAAGCAGATCGTCTCGTCTCCAACACCCAACCGGTCTCGGCTGCACAAGCGCTGCGTTTGGGCCTGGCAGATCGCATCCGGGGCCACAAAGCCGACGACTTCGTTGAACGAGTGCTTCGAAGCGCTGATCGTCTGGGACGAATGGTTTCCGACCAAGACCTCTGCAAGAAACGCGACAAGGTACACAAACCTTCGTTTCAACAGGAACTCGCTGCTCACCGCGCAAAAGAACTGAAACAAATGCAAGTCTGCTTTGATGATCCAGACTATCATCGCCAGCGTCGCGTGTTTGTGTACAAGCACAACAATTATCTATGTGCCCGAACGCCTATCGAACCCCGTCCTTAATAGGGGGGAAACAAAGTAACGTTCCTCTTCCTTTTGGTTGTGATCTTGTACAAAGTAAAATTCTCTTGTTCCTTCGGTTATAAATCAGCGGTTAACACGTTGGTTTGACATCCACGAACGATCAACGCCGTTGGCAAAGGAGCTTGGGTCATACAATCGACCAAGGCACGGAACTGGTGCTACAATGCTCTCTCGCTTCAGCGCAGGTAACGTCAACAAACTAAACCCACCGCCACCTACATCACCACCAACGCCGCTTCTCTAGAATGGGTCAGAATCAAATCAGCAACGTGCAAATGTTCCATGGTCGCCTTGGACAAAGGCGGTACCTCTCGTCCTTGGTTGTCGTCGCAGGCGGTGGTCAAGTGTCGAAACCGCTGCATCGTTTCCAGCGAAGGGTTGTACTCGCCTTGTTCAGTGAGTTGTACAGGAATCGCAGCGATCGACGCCTTGATTCGAAGCTTCCGAAGCGATCTACCGTTAGCCATGAATCATCATCGTCATCATCAAACCAGACAACCCCAGAGAACATCATGTCAACACGTACCCTACCATACGAGCGGCTTCATGGCCCACCTGGGACTCCACCAATGTCATCACCCGCAATGAACACGATCTCCATTTCTTGGCTTTTTGCATCAGAAACGCAATCAGCAGCGTCAATCCTCCATCATCAAAGCGCCACCACACATCAATGGTTCTCGACTTGGTGCTGTTGTTCTCGTTGTTGTTGTTGTTGTTGTTGTCGTCGCCGTCGTCGTCGTTGTTGGTGCTGCTACCACCCGACGCTTTGCTTGCTTCCTCATGGGTCGTTCCAGACGCCGAGGATGACAATCCTAAACGAGTAGTCCATCGCGAGGCTTGTCGTAATAGTCTTGACGACCACGACAATGTGGCCAGCTGCACCAGAGGCGACCTGGGTCGCGCTGCTGCTGCAGCTGCTGCTCCTCCTCCTCCTCGCCGGCGTCGTTGCGCATTCATCAAGTAACTCGCAGATTGTGAAGGTCTACGATGTCGAAACAAACGAGAGCCTTGATGAGGCAAATGATGATGGTGATGATGATGCTGATGACGCATCCACGTTGCAGAAAACTCAAACTGTTGAGCATCAGCACCCAGTTCAGGCGGTCGTCGCGCGATCACAAACCCCAAATCCTGCGCCAAGGCTTTCCTCAACAACGACACATAGGCCTGGGCTGCTGCTGACGACGTAACAGCCGCCCAATCTTCCTTGAACCCCATCGCCAGCACATTGGATTGCAGCTTGGAGATCCCAGGCGCCTGCAGCAAGACCTCCATGCCCTGGGCCAACGAAGGCGCTACCACACACTTCACAAAACCCTTGGCCCGGCTACTACGAAGAGCTCGTGAAACCTCACGTTCCAGCAGCCTTCGTTCGCGAAGGCGACACAATTCTTCCACCGGCGAATGCTGCTGGGGCTCGTACACGTCGACCACGCCATAGGTCAGCAGACCATTGCCCTCGGCCAGAGACGCCATCAACGCTACTAACGCTGGTCGTTCCCAGGGCAACCCACACAGCACCAGCACATGCGGTCGGTAGTTCTGAGGCGAACTCTGCATCCCATCGATCTTCCTCAGCGCAGAGAGAGCAGCAGCGATCGTTACTGCATCGCCCGCCGAACCCCATTGCAGATCCAGGTGACGCAAGTCCAGGTACTTGTGCAGCAGGATGGCCAGCACGATGGCCGCCAGAAACCCTAGTAGATTCACTAACCCTACGAACGCCAGACAAATCACACAGCCCAGAAACGCGATCCAAGGGTGAAAGTAGCGGAAGGTGGGGCGCCATGAGGGGCTGCCAGCCAGGGCGGTGGCGAAACAAGCATAGTTCAGCAGCTGCAAACCACAGCATTTCCACCTCAATTAGACGATCTCTCTCTTTCTCTCTCTACCCTTTCTCACCGGCCGCCCACCACCTTACGCTGTACGATAACAAGGTCAAGGCGGTGATCAGCTGCAGCACAATGTCACTGAGCGGTGGCCAGGCAGCCGCCAGCAGCCCCAGCAATGCCACGCCCGACGTGAGATATAACGCTCGTCGAAACTGGTGTTTACCTCGCTGGAGGTTGGGCGACAAGAAGTTGAGCAGAGGAAAGAGACGGTCCCAAGAGACCGCCTGATGGTCGAAATCAATCCCTTCGAGTGAGCAAACAAACACCCACCCATGAACCTACGAAGAAGAGACGAGGAGCAGTAGCCATAGACGCCAACGCTGAAGAAATCGTGGCAGCATAAATGCCCAGATACACGATCGTTTGTGAAAAGGAGAGGATAGCCATGATATCAGGGCGCTGCAGGACGTCTCTGGTGGCTGAGGAGCCCACCACCCACCCAAGCAGCAGATAGAAGAAAGTACTGAAGGCGATGGCCAGGATTGAGCCTCGTGGGATGTCTTTCTCAGGCATCTGGCACACACACCATCGGTGATTCACCGGTTTCACAATCAAGAACATCGCCTGCTACGTTACCCTGAGCTGCCCAAAGACGGTGGTTCCTGCTGTGATGCCGGTGGTGGCCGGGAAGAATCGATGGAGCAGATCATTGAAGAGACGTCGATTGGATTGGTCCGGAGGCAGTAGATTCAACTCCACACGCACCGGCGAGGGACGAAACACGCCTTGTTCTACGTCGGTAGGCCCAGGCACTAACGATCCAATCACAATCGACATCACAATCGACAACAAAGCCACCACCACCAACATCAACACCTGAAGCCGGACCACAAAGAAGATACCGTTAATGGTGACGATGGCCACCACCACCAAGATCACACCCATCACCAGCACACGTTGGCCGAATGAAGCGTCTTCGCTCAGCCAAGGCGCTGAAGGAAACTGCAAACTCATCCCTTTGGCAAAGTTCGAGACGTATAACGACACCTGGAAGGACTCAGATAACGCCAGCAGAAGGCCTACCGCCGCGCCAAACTTGGGCCCCAACGACCTCGACAACATGTAATAGGTGCCACCGCCAGGAATCACGCCGTTGGTCGCCAGAGCAGACAATGAGAACACGGTAAGCGTGGACACCAGCGTACAGCACAAGATGACGGCCGAACCTAGCAGCAGTCCTCCTTGTGCCATTACGACGCCTGTCTCGAAGAACATTACGCCACCAAAGATCTGGATCATACAGCGCGTCTGGTGTTCATAAACCATGGCCGATCAGCGCTCCTCCTTCCCCTCTTGCAGCTCGCTCCAGACCCACCGCCACCTACAAACACGCCATCCCACATTCCAAACGCTTGCTGCGACTCCTACGTCTTCTCGATCACGTTGGCCTTGGCCGCCGCCCTGGCTTCACGCTGCCCACGATCGTCGTCTTCGTCGTCCTTGGCTTCTGGATTCTGGTCGTCGTTCTCGTTGTACACATCACCATCATCATCAAGGTTGTCATCGGCTGGCCATAGATGAGAAAACGAGCGACGAATCACCTGTCGCGATGCCGCATCATCAAATAGAAACTGCTCGATCGAGAGAGGCTTGGGTAACCCTCGTTTGGAGGCGGCAGCGCCCGAGACGGTGGTATACGTGGCCAGCTGCGGGCGCAGCTCCCGCGCCAGCGAAGGTCCTGGCCTTTGAAGCCTTGGCGGCGCCAGCTGTACCATCAGATGTTCATCTTTGTGCTCGTCTGGCGCTTCGTGCGGCTCCTGCTCTTCAGGCGTGGTCACCAGCACCGCGGTCGATGAAGCCGCCGGCACCGGCGACAGCTTAGGGGACGGCGAGGCCGATGGCGATGGTGATGGCGAAGGCTGCGGGGGTTGAAACACCTGCAGATCAAACGCCGGGCGTACATCGCCCATCGACATCGAACCCGGCTGCTGATTCCGGCGACGACGGTATTTGTTCACGGTTTGATCGAAGCCTGGCGCTGGGCCGGGCGCAACCGCTGCTTCTTCGAGTTCATCGTCGCCGGACCAGGTTCGTAGCCGGACCACATCGTTTTGATGATGGTCTGCCGGGCGTCGAGGACCAGGACTCGATACGGGCACTGCAAGGGACGCGGCGCTGTGCCACGCTGCGAGGCCCACCGAGGCCTGCGGTGCCGGGCGGGACGGCTGCGGCTGCGGCGGCGGCGGTGGCGCGGCCGACGACGATGACGACGGCCAGTCGGGCGGCAGGAAGGGGTAGCCTGGGCTGACACTACTGCAGCGCCGATGGGGACGCCGGGCAGCTGCTGCACCGGCCGCCGCCAGACGTAAGGGCTGCGACCATGAGCGGGAGCGGGAGGCCCGGTAGTTCTGCCGCTGCTGCGGGTCGTCGTCGCGACCAGGCATTTGGCGAAATGAACCGTCCGCCTAGGTAGGTAGTGAGCGCGCGAGTCGTGGGTCGGTCGATCGGCGGTGGTAATGACTGTGCGACTGGCGGTGGATGTGACTGGATCGAGTGCGCAAGTCCGCAGCAGTGGCGACCGCCCCTCGCAGCTCGTTGGCCGCTGCTCGCTACGCATCTTCGCGCGGTTGGTGCGTAAGTCCGAATGAATAAGAGGTGAATGCAATGATGCAGCTGCAGGCATGACCGTCATGCAATGGTCACGCATGCAGCTGCATGCCTGCATCTTTCCACATCAGTACAAAGCTACAAATTGGAATCAACGATTAAAGGAGGATACCATAGAAGAAGAAGTTCGCTATGTACCTGCCTTGCTTGTGGCCGCCGATCAAATTGCTTTATTTTTGTTCAAATTGTCTTCAATTTAATGCATAGTATACTTAACAGAGGCAGGGTTGTTGCTGCTCCTGATGCCTTGCGCCTCATTATTGTGGGAAGCGGGTCAAATCGTGACCTTTGAGGTTTCAACACGAATGTATCAAGGTCTGCTTCCGAGTAGCTTCATGTTGAAAAGTGACGGTGTACTCTTTGGCGTACTTTTAGGCAGCTTGTCATTCACACTGCTTACTTGCCTGCCGTTTCACGGTTCTTCTGCACAGCCTCATTCACTAGGAGACAATGATATCAAGATGCAACAAGATACTCGAAGAGATTCCTGTATGTCCGCTACTACTCCAGCGTCTATCTGGCATCATCACGAACATTACTTCTTCGATCAACTCGTGTTATTCTGTGCATTCTTGGATCCGGCCTTGTTACAACGTGCTGTTGGAGGCTTTCGTGTTCTGGTAATTGGGAGCAGGGGTGCAGTGCTCTGCTGCTGCAGCACTATACCGCTGTGTGCTTTGCCATCGGTTGTTGGCTGATAATGTGGCTCATCATTCGATGGCTCAGTCAGCTACCTGGCAGGAGCACACAGCACGGGAAAATGGCTTCGTTCTTCTTTAGGCGTAGAAGCCATTTTTCCATCGTCACCATAAATTGCATTATCGCCAAGGCCCAGATGGTCACAACATTTTTTTCAGTCGAACTCAAATGAAGCGACAATCGCGAATGAAACGTAGCATGTAGCTTGGCTACTGCCCGGTAAAGTGTCATCGGTTAGTTGAATGCACTGCGTTGTTCTACATTTACAGACTTGCAAAGCCTGCTGCTTTCTTGTCCATCTTCAATTTGAATGCAGTGTAGTAGTCGTATAGATGCTCCTGACCGCCTGACCTCCTGTAGTCCTGTCTGCCCCAGCTAGGCGCAGGCAGGCCAGGCTGGCCTTTCATTTCGTTATCCAGCCCTGCATCGTCTCATCGATCATGATGATGCTCTTCGAAACTGTACATCTGAAGAAGCACTTTGTGGCTCGACACTGCAGACAGTTGGTGATTCTGTGTGTTTTCTTGTTCGCCGTTCAGCGGCGAGGTGTTGTATACTCCAAGACGATCTGTGATCTATACCCAACATGCGTTGTTCCACGTGCATCTGGTACTACCTTGTAGGTCGAGGTGCATTCTTCCACTAGTCATCACAGCTCTGAACAAACTTATGATGAAGAAACCTGCTTGGAAAGGAGTTGACGTCGATCGAAAACGGAGCGTTCGCAAACCAATCACAAACACTTACTAGACTGTTAGTCTTGTCTTACTGCATCTGTTTCAACGCGTGTCTTCCGGTGCTCATAGATGATGCAGAGACCTTGCAGAGAATAAGCTCAGCTCGCTGCAGGTGAACATCTTCTCTTCCATGACAAGACTGGAATGGTTGTAAGCCCGTCGTCTGAAGGGGAAGCGCTTTGAATTAGGCGTGGAATGACGCCTGGCGGTTGGTGATGTGTGCAGACGGCTCCAGGGCAACGAGCTGACGTTTCTTCCTCCTGAAATTTTCTTTTCCAACACCAATCTGAGATGGCTGTACGCACTTTAGACGAGAAAGAGGTCGGTGGTTAACAATCTAACGCTGGCCGGCAGACATCTTGGCAGGAACAAGCTACCTCGACTTCCTGCGGAAATCATATTGCGCAATACGATGCTTTCAACATTGTACGTGTTCTACCTGGACAATCGCAGCAGCTCGAGAAGTCGGTTCATGTGGATCGAACAAACACCAACAGGCACATTCCAAGAAATCGGCTGACATCCTTGCCAAGGGATATCTTTGGATTGAATACTCGACTTCGTTATTTGTGAGCTAAAGGTCTATCCACGAAGAAGACGAGTCTGGGTCTGATACGGCATTGAAGAGAGTTGTGGCTCAATCGCATTACATCGCTTCCCGCCGACATTTTCAAGAACAGTACCAGTCTGACCTTCTTGTAGGATACAATGGCGATTGATTCATTGCATCTTGTGAGGTCTGCAACTCAATAGGTTCTGAGAAGAGATCTCGGGGTGAACCACTTGAAATCGATTCCATTTAAATTCTTCTCCGCTCTTTCCATGGTCCAAATCGTGTATGCTGTGATTGGGGGAATTGACACGCGTCGAATGATCTTTGAGTGACGATTATTGTCTCACGAAAACAGAAAACTCGGATCGAATCGGTTGACATCACTAGATCGCGATGTGTTTTCCTACATAACTCAGGTGACAAAAATGTACGTTGAACGCCCACCGCCTTCGGCGACTCGCATGGATTATATTGATGGTTGAAACATCACGCAGAGATCTTTGGAAAAATAACATACGATCTCTCCCGGCCACGGTATTTGCAAACAATCCAGAGTTCAGAGTTTTGTACGGAAAACATTCGAATTCAGATTCTGGTTAGAGACGCCTCATTTGTCTCCGCTAGATTCGCTGGATTGAATGCTTTTTCTCCCCTTCCGCCCGAACTATTCGCCAACAATCGTGAACTGAGGAGAGTGTGAGCATCAATACTACAGAAAGGAGACGTCAATGCGTTCTTTGAAGAGTAACCATCGATAGACACCTCGAGAATTCTGGTCTTGATAATCTTCCAAGTGAACTGTTTTCCAGCAATTCTAAGCTGAATTACATGTGGGTACCAAAGAATCGCAGAGGTTGATTCGTAGCGGTCTCATCAACGATGTGTGATGGCGACCAAGACGCCTCCGCAATAACCAACTAGCACAACTGCCCATTGGGATCTTCTCCAATTTAGTGCATTTGACTGGTTTGTAAGATGATTAGAGTCCATGACACACCTAACCTCACCCTGTTGATCAGTCGAGTCCTTGACGTAGAGAACTTGAAGGCAACGGGCTGACATCGGTTCCAGCGACGCTGATTTCACGAGCGAGTCAGCTCAATACACTGTAAGGAAACAAGGAGTCAATTCCATACCAATCTACCTACTCATACGTTTCAACCAGAAAACTCCAAGCAAACCGTTTGACAATGCTTCCCAAGAACTTCTTCTCTGCCAATACCAAACTCCATACTCTGTACGTTGAAAAATTCCATGTCTTCCGAAACCAGTAGTTGGGCCAGCATCACCCAAGAAATGCACATGAACAGAAAACTTGATGAAGATGAGTTCTCGTGTCTTCCCGATCAACCTGTGAATCTCGTCACAGAAACCGCTCTTTGGGACAGGACATTGTCAGAATGTCCACTGAGCCCTTGGCCAACCCCTCTTCCTTTGCCCGTGACCACAGCAGTGATTCCTACCAAGCGCTCTCAGCCAACCCCTTCTCCTGTACTCGTCACCACTGCAGTGATTCCTACCAAGCGCCCATCGCCGTTGACTACCAAGAGTGCCACACTATCTCCTGTGACAACTGCTCCACTTGTGACGATGATCACGAGCACAGCGACATCTCCTTCAGCGACCATAGAATCATCCTGGAGGCAGCAAGCCACCGATCTGTGGAGTGTGCTGGAAGCGGCCAATTGTGCGGCGCAGACCCTTCTGGAGTACAACGGATGTCCATTCCATAGCAATCGGTCCTCCATCGAGCAGCAGCGATGTGTTCTGCCTCAGGGTCGATCGAGTCTGCTTCTTCGTCTGCCTCGATCCCATCGGTTGTGTTGGGAGATGGTTCACGCGCCCAGTAACAAGACATGTGTCCCCATGGACTCCCAGGCAGTCGTCAACGAAGTGTATATCGACTTGGGTTTATCAATGGTAGGCCCCAACATTGAGGATGTCACCTTGACCACGACATCTTCTCCTTGGTCGACCTGCTCCTTCGCATCCACCCTGACACTCGAACTGTTCCATTCCTCTTCTTCTTCGTCAATCACACTGCCACCGGTGCAATTGTTCCAGGTGTCTGCACCTGGCCCACAAACATTGCTCCTGGGTATCACGTCAGTTCGAGGACTCATGCGAAACGCCACCGGGTTTGCTTTCTCAACGTCCTTTTATCTGAGCTGTGGTCGGTGGCGAGGTACGAGCGAGCCGCTCCTTTGTGGATTCTCAGTCGAAGATAGCCACCACGGCTCCATGCTGGTGTTACCTGGTCTGAAACAGCTGGCGTCCCGGTGGACGGGCACCTTGCCTGCAAGCAAGTGGACGCCTGTGGTAAAGGTCCAAGATGGGGTGGGCTCCACACAACACTACCGCTATCTGGACCATTGGTTTGATGTGGCGGAATCTTCGAGTCAGGTCGAACCGATCACGCAGGATGACCTGAACGATTCTCTACAGGAGGCGCTGGTCACGCGTTCCATTGCTCGGCTCCTCTCTCTGATCGATCGACTCAGTCGTTGTAATGATTGTAAAGTCATGGCCCAGCTGATCCAAAAGGTTTCGGTCATCAGTGATGAAGAGCGGGATTATATGTGGTCGATGGATGACACCGCAACAATTGAATCATTGTTGCAAGTGTTGTCTTCCAAGGTGTTGACTTCGCCAACCTGCAATTCTTTCTGGACATACGCAGCAGCCCTCGACCTCAGCGAGCACCTTCTCGATGGCATTCGATTTCGCCAAAATTCACATCGATCAGAGCCAAGCGACACACGTCTCTGGAAGGCATCATCAGTTTTGT